GTGACGTAATCCCACCATAGGTACTTGCAAGTCTACAAAGTCCCGCCAATAACACCACAGCTTAAAAATTTTGCTTCGTTCCTACCTCAAACAGCTCGCCTGAGCCGGTCCAGCTGGTTTCGATCAGCGAAAAGTCCTCGCTGATAAAGTTCAACGTCAGCGCTGTGTAAGCGGCCATGTAAGCTAAAGCGGACAAGAACATGATCAGCAGGTACTTCAGTAGATCCGTGTCTTTGACCACCTGCAAGTGAAACGTTAAATTTCTGAGATCGAAAGGAGTTTAATAGGGAAATCTTACCCATCTGTGGGCTTTGCGGGTTCTGAACTCGATCAAATGCCGATAGAGCTTCAGAATGATCGATCCATAGCAGACGACGAACCCCATTTCTCTGAACCACGGTTCCAAGAGGCACCGGGAAACCGATGGCTCAAACAGACGTATTATCACCTAAACTCAGTTTGGAGCAAATATTCCGCAAAAATCATGGGAAACTCACCGTGCTGTACAGAACAAGAACACCTACTAGGATAGTTTCTAAAATGGTCCACATACCAACTGCAATGGCCTGGAAAGGATCGGGTTGCTCAAGTGAACATCCAGCCTTTGGCTAATCGGCTTACTTTGGTTTTTCGCAGCACAAACACCATCCCAGCTAAAAACATTACGAATCCCATACTGGTCAGCTGGACGAGCAGGATGGCGGTCCTCAAGTAGGCCATTCTCTGGATCGGACATGTCCCGTTTCCGACGCAATTAGCCGGACAGATTTCTGGACACGGCTGGCAGCTGCGCGTATTTTTAGACCGCAAAACATGTCGATGCTTTATTCATCGGTACTCACTCAAAGTTACTGATGCGCCCGCTTTCCAGATCTTTCCCCTTCAGTCCTGCCCAGGTAGCGTGGGAATCCGGATAAAAATACCCCGGATTGCACCGGCAAGTGTATTGGCCCCTTTTTGCATTTTTCCAGGTTTCACCGTCAACGCACTGGAAAATTCACGTTATTAGCCGAAGACATTTTCCGGGAAACCAAAGCCTCAAACTTCGCCATTAAATACTGAAATAATTGATGGGTTTTGAAGCGGATGCCGATGGAAAAACATGCGTTTTATACCCGCCAGGGCCATCAAAACAAGAGAAATTTATGATGTGCTTGACAACAATTGATTAATGGGCGTTTCACATGTTTGATTAACGATCAAGGGATGCGGGAAAACTAACCGTGAACAAAAAGGGCCTAAAAACACTCACCATTTGGTTTTCCCTGCACTTATGGGGCCCTCCGAAAATCTCCGCAATGCCACCATCACACTCATCCAGAACCACTGGTGCAAACAGCCCAATTTTCGCTCCTCTAGAGCCTCCATAGGCGTAGATGTACAGCCAGGAACCTTCGAAGAAGTGACAGTCCTTAAATGGCGCTCCCCAGCCACTGGCTGTTGCCTCAAACACTCTCCAGAACAACTGAGTCTCGGGCGTTTGGTTGACGAACATCCTCAATCTGGAGTTGAGGTTCAGTGCCAGAATGTGCTCCTTTGGAGTAGCCAGAATGGCGCCAGCAATGTCCCATTGTCGGGACAGAATGTTGCGAGCTGCTGATGTAAAGTTGCTGCTTCGGTGAAGCTCCTCTTCAATGTTTTGCACCAGAAAAGAGGCATTGAAGTTCAATCTGGATGGTGGGACAGTTGAGGAAAGGGTGCGAGTGGTACAGGGCTCTTGGTGGTTGGAGAGGACAGTGGAGAGGTAGAGCGAGAGGAGAACGAGAGAGGTTTTCATGCCGTCATTGTTATTTTTGAATGGGCGTTACAGAGGGAACCTGAAACAACAACAAATAATTGTTCCTCATGGATTTGAAGCTACGTTCTGATTAGCCAAATTGTGATTTGTTGTTTGTATTTTCGACCGTCTAAATCTCTTGGAAGTCCACAATTGGCGTCTTTTATTTAGGTCAGCGAATCAATTTTTAAAAATGACTGCAATAACTGAATTATTTATTCTTCTGGCTCAGATATCGGCTGAAGCCATCGATAGCGTACATCAATTAAAGCAACGAAAATGGGGACAAACTGCATTTTTTATGTGATAGGTGGACTAAGTTTATTGCAGAGAATGGAAATTAAACTGCAATAAAGAGTGGAGTTACAGAAAGCATTCACGAAAGTTTCAACGAGACAGAAACATTTTAAATGTTAAGAAAAATTCGTCATTTTAATCGTCCAAATAAACGATTCAACAGCAATAGAGCCAACCACTTTTGAACATATGAATAGTCTTTGAATAGTTTATTCGAACTTTTATTCTCTTACAAAACTGGTTTCTTTACAACGTTTCAATTCGTTGTAAATCCAGACGTTTTCAGGTGAACCCTGAGTTTGAATAAACCATTCAAAAACTATTTATTCATAAAGTTGAGGTTGAATGGTTTATTCACGTCAATCCAATCATTTTCAGGCTAACGCGACAATTCGACGGCTTTTTTCAAAAAAACTACATTCCAACTTAATGTGAAATTAAAAAACAATTTATGAATAAATGGCTTGGATTTTTATACTCAAAAACTTTGGCAAACAACTCTTCCTTCTTTCCAATTAAGTAGAATTAAAAAATAACTACTATTTCCCAAAGAAACGTTGGTGGTGTGCACTGTTTTTTCCTAGAAATTGTTAAAAATTGCAGTTATTTTCTTGGAGAATACGGTGTGTTGTATTTTTTTACTCAATAACTGTACATTTAACAGAAGAACCCAAAGAGCTTTTTCTTTCCAACTGAATGTAAAAGTAAAAAATAAAGATTTTTTGTTAAAAACATTGGCGTGCAGTGGCTTTTTCCTGAAAAGTATCAAATGTGAAATATTGCGTTAATTCTCTATTAACAAATTATACGACTCTTAACGCAACGCCGTATTTTTTCAATCACTTGCCCTTAAAATTGCACTATATTTGCATTTGTCTTCAAGCAATACCAGTCGTTTCTCCTTTAAAAGACCCCACAAGGAGCTTAAAAATCAATGCAAACAGATTTATTTATTCTCGCAGTATAAATAATGAGGAAGCTAAACGATAACGTCAATCAATCAACGTTACTTAAATTGGAACACATTTCTATTTTTATTTAAACTGCGCTCGTTTACGTTATTCGAAGATTATTGCCCTGAATGGGGAATAAAACGAAAGAAAATAAACGATGAAAAATGTAAAAATTGAGATTTTAGTTAACGGTTTATTGTTCATAACTTATGAATGTACGATCTACCGTTTTCTTAAAAGTCTTCAATATTGGATGAGTTTTGAAGGCTCTTTTATCGGAGAAAGTTTTATTTCCTGTTTCAGATTTTTTTGCACTCGGTTATTTAAGTTTCGCGAAAAATTGCGACTGAACAATTTTAGCAAAATTGATAGAGATTTTGGAAAAATTTTGGATTCCAAAGCAGTTCGGATAAAGTTTCTACAGGGTGGAAAATGAAACATTGTAAAATTGCAACAAATTGTAAAAATTTGCCACACCAAATCAGGTTTGAGTTTTTCACTTACCCCTTCTATTTACCGGGTAGTATGAAAAACTAAATTTTCCTTTTCGCTCGAATTTTCGAAATGCAACGCTCATGTTCAAGCCAAAACTGCAAATTTTGCTTAAGAGAAAAATTCAATATACTTACAGGGTTGCAAAAAAATCTGAACTCGCTGCGAAGTCTGGCGATGCTGGAGTTTGCGTTTAAACATGCTGTTCATTCAGGCAACCCTGTATATTTAATTTTTGACCGAAGTCGGGAATAAAGTACTAGCTTGAACATAAGCTGTAGATTGTGAAAATGGGTCTTTGAGGAAAAAAGAAAAAAATTATACCAATTTATTTATCCCAAAAAGTTTATTTTTTTGGATCACCTCAAGCAGGTTTACCTGGGGGCAAAGACCCATCACAAGAAGACTTACAAGGCGTCCTCAAATTGTCAATAAAAAGTGCCGGAAAAACCAGTGAAATTATAAGAAAATTTGTAAAACCGGAATTTCATAACTCACCAGTCTATGACCCACATATTATTATTAAAAGTTAAAATATAAAAATTGCAGTATTCCAATGCGATTTAGCGTCACTTTTCCTGTTGTAGCATCGAGCGAACAGCTTTGATGCTTCAAAAAATTTCAAATGATTGAAATTTGAATAACTCCAGCACACAATTAAAAAATTATTATTATTGGCACTGTTCAGGCGAGGAGGGAAATTAGTGAAAGCCACCAGCAAACTGTGCCCGACAATTCCCAAAAACATTAATCCGATTCCTCACAGCTCATCAATGCAGGCCGCACTGTTAAACCTTCCAGCAGTAAAATTGCCGCGTTTAAATCTCACTTAAGGCCCCAATTTAATGACCAAAAAACCTCCCCAGCTCGTTTAATCCATAGCTCCCTGGCATCGGATTGCCCTTATCCAGAAAACGTTTCCAGTCGTCTCTCCCATTTGGCAGGAGGCGTAAATCCTGCGGAAAAACACTCACATGTTTTTTTGGTGAGCACATCGCCTCAACTGGCACCCAGAAGCGCTGAAAGTAGTAAAACGGAAGAAACTAATACGGAAACTGAAACTGTTGCGAGTGCAATGAAGGAAACGCACAGATTGACTGGGGACGTTTCCCGACCAACATCTGGGAAATCTGCGAAAAACAGCGTGAATTTCTGCGCGCATCGACCCGCTGTTGCCCCGGATACAGCCGCGAGAACTAAGTGGAATGTGAAGCTTCAATTATCGGAAATTGTTCGCGGATTGGCTTAGGATTGCTCGATTGTAATCCGATACATTTATTGAGCCTTTAGGGCTTTTATGGGGGCTTCAATGCCGAACGCCAACCGGTAATCATGCAATTTCGCTTTGGACTGTCGCGCCTTCGATCCCAAGACGAACATCGTTCCAGCCATGCTGTGGCAGCTATTTTTAAGCCAAAGATTAAGTTTGATAGCCGAAATAACGTCTGTATCAGATGTGGAACTGCGGCCAATTCGTAGCGGTTGAATCATTTTGATGCGGGAATTTTTATGGCTTAAGCTTCGATGTAGGCTTTCGGCTTATTTATGCTTCGCAAAACCTCCACTTCCATCCTTCTTCTACATTAGCACAAGTTTTGAGAAAATTTTCGAATTGCGCCCGGTTTCAAGATCTCCTCTACTAGGCGAAGTCTGAAAATAACACTTTCGAAACCGGGGGTTTATTTCGATGAAGGCCCAGCTTTCGGGAGTGTTAAGCCAGCTGATGAGAGCGAATAGGCTCGAAACCTGTTCCGAAGATGTCTGTGACTAACACGTATGGATTATTGCCCCTTTGGTGGGTTTGATGACAATTTTTCTCTTTGGTTGGTATGGATTTCATAACTTTCCAATGTATGACACACACTTTTGTGGGGTTCTGATTTGAAATGGTTGCGGCTATTTAATGTTTTAGAGTTCTTTTTCGCATAATT